CGAGCAGGTCGCTGTTAAACAGTCGCAACTGGACAAGCTGTATGCCGGACTGAAGGATTTGGCGCAAGAACGTCGCGCTAAGCTGGATGAGGCCTTGCAACTCTTCCTGCTCAACAGAGACGTTGGCGACTTGGAGCAGTGGATAGCTGATCGCGAAGTGGTGGCGTCTTCTCATGAACTGGGCCGAGATGCTGGTTCTGTATCATCGCTGCAGCGCAAACATCAGAACTTCATGCAAGACCTACAGACGCTTCAGAACCAAGTGATTCAAGAGGAATCGGTCAAGCTTCGACCCAGCTATGCTGGCAACGGAGCTAAAGAGATCACAAATAGAGAACAAGAAGTGGTGTCTGCATGGGCCAGTTTGCAAATGGTTTGCGGGCAGCGCAAAGGAAAACTGGTCGATACTGGCGATCTGTTCAAGTTCTTCAACCTGGTGAGGACGCTGATGCAATGGATGGACAACGTGGTGCGCCAAGTGAACACCAGCGAAAAGCCACACGACGTCGGCAGCGTTGAACTGTTGATGAGCAATCAGAAGAGCCCTCAGGCAAAATTTAAAGTTGTCCACATTCACCATTTGGCCAGATATAACCATGATCCAGGAATTACCTAATCGGGGCGATCAAGGTTTAGAAGGGGGGCAGTGTAACGGAAACGGCCTGGGGTACTCACGTTTGAAATGGGGGGATCGAAATTCATGGTATTTCAGTAAATGGGGCCCAATGGGGCTCCCATTGTCAAATATGACACTGACAAGCTGGAAATTTCGCACCTGGGCTGGAGATTTCGAGAAGCTTCTGGGTTACCTGGAGCTATATAAGCGGCGACGAGAACCAGAGGGGGGGAGTGAAGTGACAGGAGCGACCGGGTGCAGAAGAGGTTGAACCCCGTGAGTCGCAAAAGCGAGTTTTCCGTCGGTTATTGTTATTGATTGTGAAGTTGACGGTAATTTTAAAGTTAGTTTGTTTCTGTTCGGCATTTAAAGTCATACCGAGGTGAATAAAAGTTGGAAGCTGAAGAAAGAGTTTGATACCCGGCCATCCACGGTACAATACATTTTTCTTGCATTTAGTGATCCGGACGGCGGGCCGCATCACGGGTACCCGCTTAGTGCTTGCGAACATTGGCATACATATTGTGATGTACGGTGAATGCTGTTGTGTGTTTATTTTAATCCAAGACACTCGATACATGATATTGTTAATGCGTGTGTCATATGATTATTATCATTGTTGTATGCCATTTATACAGAATAAAAGTAGTTTTTAATCCAGCCTTAAAACTGCTATCCAAACCTACAAGTGTTATTTGATATGCCCTTGAATCAGACCACTTCCTCATTTTTTCCCTTTCTTCAACGGCTAGTACTCATGAGCAGACTGCCTTGATCATGGCTGTCTTACTGTGTGTTGTATGTTTAGAAGACAAATTTAAAAAATCTATATTCAATTCACCTACCTTTGCTACTAGTAGCCGCAGTAGCGCTGGTTCTACCTGTGGTTCGTAAGAACACATGAGAATGTTTCTTGTATTCATCCATTGTTAAGAACTTCTCTTGTTCAGTGTGAAATAGCCTAACCACATCTCCGCCTTTTAGAATATTATCTCGATTTTCCTTATATTCTAGAAATAGTGTCACTTTCCATGAAGTGTTTCCATTAACTACATTAACCTGGAATGTCATAGAGGGTTTATAAAGCACAATTTAATTTTAGCTTATCTTCCTTACCTCTTTGCAGCCGGGATTATCCACCAGTTCAAGATTCGCGGCTACATGCAGAAGATGCTGGCCAGGACCTACAGGGTTTAAAATAACTTTGTCTCCTAAAACGATATTGTCTCCAGTAGACCGAAGCTTATAGAAAGGATGTATATAAAACCACGACCCTTCATTGCCACTACCATCCAAATACACCCGGATCGCATTTTTTTCTAAAAGCGCTGGAAGCTTTTTGTTCACTGTTAAGTACTTGTTTGACTTTAAATGTAGCAACTGCAAAAACCCAATAGTTGTTAAATTTTCAAATTATGTATCGGTGAATCGGTGAGTTACCTGAATAACGTTACCATAAAGCACATTTGTTCCGTTTTCCTTCTTGTTTTCTGTTTCATTTTGTTTTTTCTCTATTTCCGCAGCGTGCTAGAACGCATAAAAATATTAGTTTGTGGTGATTGACATGCTGCTGAAACACATACATGTAATCTCTTAAGTAAATTGGTATCAGTATCAGGTCCCATGCTTTGCTTTGCAGCTTTCCAAAATTGCTTTTGAGCAGAGTATCTATTCATAGGGCATATTTTGAATAGGCAATCTCTGAACTTTTTGGGAGGATTCAATAAATCACCTGCTTCTGGACATACTACACATCTGTCGTCCACCAATCTGAAGTGATATAGTTTTGCATTAGATTCTACTAATTTGTTTTTGATTCGAATATAACTAATGGTATGAGAACATTTCCTTCAGTTTCTAAGACATGTTTTTCGGACTTATTCGCCGACTGATTTTTTTATTTTATTATTTTAATCTGGGTTTGTTACAATTTTACTCATCTGCGAAAAAAAACTTTTCAGCTTTCTCTGAAAATTTACTTTTACAGATATTATCGGACTATAGCTTAGCGACGCTACTCTGTCATTCTCAGGAAGACTTAGCAACAATTTTGCAAAATAGTTATTGTTTTACTCATTTGACCCGTTTACCCAGTCCTACTCTCGACCAATTTATTTCGGCTTAAATGTAAGTCCCTAGACTAGAGAAGCTTTAGATACTGACTGGTACTTTGATATACAACTGCAAACTTAGGAATAATGTTGACAAAACCTAGTGGGATCTATTAAGCTCCGGTTTCTTCCGGTGAAGCATTTCGCGCTGCATACCCTAATGTCTATTCTCCGGAAGCTGCTTTAAATGGTAAATGCAGACAGAGATACGAAATGTTGGGTTCAGGGATATCCATGAAGCGAAGTTTCTGAGTAAAGGTTTAGGTATGATAGTATATTATATAGATATTGTGTAAATGACGATGAATTGGTTAATTGAACCATTACTATGAATAGACAACTGCTGACTCCAAGTTTGGAGTCCAATCGAAGAAAATACTTGGTGAGACGCGTTAAATGCTTGTAGCAACCGTTAAATTATTTACCATTTAATTAATTTCAAACTATGTTTTTTCTGTTGTAGAACTAGAAACTCATTTTTGCCACATTGGTTTCAGATGGAATCTCGATCGACCACCAGACAAATTGGCGACAGTTAACACAACAGCAACAAACCTTGTTTTACCTGTTGTAAATTTATGATGTTTGAAAGTAGATAATGTTTGTCATAACAAGTAATATAAACTAACGAGCGACTGTTTAAATAAATCACAATACCACTTACCCCAATGTACTTAAAAATCCGGAGACACTGCCTTCGGCATATAGGGATACAACGTCCCCTATATGCAAGACATTACCAGCTGTTTCACTCATTATTTCAATATGCCAATTGAAATATCCTCAAATTATGTGATCAACCGATTCTAAAACTATTAATATTAATCAAAATTTGCATTCCAATAAAATTTAGATTGTTTATAAAATATGAAACAGGATTTAAATACCATTTCTAGCTCATGACTGTCAAGGAAAAATTTCTATTTGATATAATCTGAATTTCGTATAGTAATTACTAATGTATGTGTTCTTATGTGTTGTTAATAATAAAAATGCATTGAAAAAACAAAAGACACACAGTTCAAACTGTAAAATCTAAAACAAACAAATGTTATGAGGAGGTTAAACTTACACATCTCAGTGTTTTCGAGAAGTCTGTCGAGAATTAATTGCAAATGATTTTCTGTGTTGTATTTGAAATCCTTGCTTCTCAACACTTATAATTATTAAATTTCAAAAGACACAAATTCTCGAATTTGCTCCAATTCAGATAAAAACGCAGAATCCGCACCTCTCACTTCACACAGTGCATACAGGAACTACAAAAACATTGAACTCAATATTAGAGACTCGCTGTCAAGTTTCTGTGGTCAATTTTTTGAGGCTGGGTGAGATGGGCTCAGTTCAGTAAGCCTGTCATTTATTACCGATGTTTATGGTGGTTAACTTTCTTAATTAAAGTTTTTTAGAAGTTTATTAAGTAATTAGAAAGTTCAACTTGTCATTTCGCTCGGTCCGCTTAAAGTCCGCGTCCCATAGATAAAGGCAAGTATTGATACGAAAGTGTTTCTATTGGTTGGAGATCTGTCAGTTCGTACGATCACGGAGGAATTGACACATCTCCAACCAATAGAAACACTTTCGTACCATCGGATCCATCGTAAGGTCCCTAAAGTATACAGGTTGCCTGGGACTTTGGATCAATGGGAGAGCGCGCGGGAACACGTCATAAGTTTGCCAGTTTAAATTACTGAGCCTTGAACGTTGAATCAGCTCACATTTCTAGAGTTTAGTGCACGTAGTATTGGGTTTGTTCTCATGTTTTAAACGCTCTGGTAAGCTTGCAATTAGCTGGCGTTTTCTTTATAATTTAATTGCTTAATAAGGATTTAGGAATACTTTGCTATTTACATCTCACATCCAACGGCACGCTCACAGTAACAAAAGTTTCAGTTAAGGATATGCACTCGAGACGAGACACAAGCGAATAAATGAATTTGTCAATAGTAAAATGTAAGTACCTGTTCATTTGAAATAAAATTGTAAAAAGTAAGTTTTTACACATCTATTTATCTAAATCTGCATATATATATAAAACAATGAAAAGGTGCAATAAAAAAAAACGCTGACATACAAATTTAATAGCAAATAAAATTAGATGGCAAAAATAAAAATAAATTTTCATAAGTTTTTAGTGTAAAAGCTATTCAAAGTGGTAACCATGGAACCGAGTGAAAGAACACCGTTTTCTATTAAATAAACAATAATTAACAGAACATTTAGAAAAATATCTAATTTACAGTTTTGCTACTTTTTTTTGTTTTTTTCTATAAAAAAATCTAGAACGAAAACATTTTAAATTCCTTGTCAATTTAGGTACAAACATTTTAATTATGATATTTAATACATCTACCGTGATATCAATAGATGTCCACTTGCGTTTATTGATTGTGGGATATTTATTTAAAAAAATTACTTACAAGTCTAATTTGTTCTATCTTAGGTTGAGTACTTAACGAAACAACACAAACACTATTAGCACAAATAGCAGAAACGTTCTTCTTGCTTTGACAAAAAACGTATTCTAATAAGTAGTAACGATATAATCCACTGTATTGAAATTGAAAACAGCAAACACGTGAGGTCACACCTTCTGCTCGCGTCTGTACCGCTCAGAATTACCAGGCAACCTGTATAATCTAGGAACTTTGATATCCATGATACAAATTAATATGTACATTGTGTATATATGGTGAGAATGTATTGCTTCTTTGTTGACAATTTGGCGACGTAGCTTGTCAGTTTCGGCGAATGATCTGTTGTGAAGTATAAATTATACTTACACATATAACAGCTGCAGAGAGAAGTCCTGTGTCTGCATATAATATTAATATTAATATACGGTCGGAGTGCAATCTCTTATTTTTCTTTGGGCTGTACCAAGACGTAAAAAATTTCGCACATTGCCAAATTGAACTGATAAAATGAAGAACAACATGGGAATTCAATCAATCGTCAATAGTTTGGTAATCTGTGAATGGAACACTGTCACCTTGCTGTCGTTCGACGTTCAGTCTTCTCTCTTCTTTTCATAGCTTGTGACAGTTTCTGTGCTGTAAGTTCAGTTAATCTGTGGTTCAGTTCAAGTCTTGTTCTATGGTTCAGTTTTCAGTTTATTATCATCAGTCGTATCGTGTTTTAGTATAGAGGAAAGGGTATTACTATCCGTCATTTTTTGGCTCTTGTATCTTTTGTCTTGGAATAAAGTGTGGAAAGAAGCAAATAGGATCCTAAAAAATTAATGGTGAAGTTTTAATGACAATCTAAAATGTCATCTCCTAGTGCTGGTAAAAGACGTATGGACACTGATGTTATTAAACTGTATCCTTTCTTTGTGTTGTGCGAAAAATGTAAACACTTTGGCTCTCATGGCCAGCTGATTGTCAGATGAATGCAACTCCTGTTTCATACGGATGTCATGATTTTTATTTATTTCCCTGGTTTATTTTGAATGATCCTCACATTATTATTTTTATTTCATTGCCAACAAATATTGTTTATTCCTGAACGTATATACAGTATCGAAAGCAAGCATGAAGTTACCATCCTTGGAGGACTAAATGAATTCTGCGTCAAATTTTATGGACCTAGAGGAAGTAAGTTATTTTACATTTTGTTTTGAAACAAAGAACATTAGAATTAATAATGTTATTAATTAACCCTTTCGGTATATTTGTTTTTATTATTTACTTATTTCTCATATTGTTGTAGTCCAGGAAAAGTGGAGTAAACCCGTACACTTCAGTCTTTTATTTATAAAAGAGCATGATCAAATTTCTTTGCAGGTTAATAGATAGCCTGGACATTAATTTAGGGAAATAAAGTAAGTGAAGACATTAAGCAGTAGAATCAAGTTATACACCTCCGTAGACGTTGTGGAACAACAAGTGGAGTGCATACATTCTAGGGGCACATACTTTGTTTCTTTAAAAAAAAAATGATATTATTATCCGTTTTCGCGCCAATGGTGAACAGAAAATTATTAATTGCTTCAAAAAATGCGCAATGACTATTTCTTAAAACCTACCAAATTTAATTTCCCTGTCTCGACCTGTTTCAAAACAATAAATACATCGTCAGTTTTTAACAAAACTTTAACACTCCGTACCTTGGACAAGAATAATTTGCGGACTTAGGAATGATAAGCAAACTGTCATTATTTTTTCCTACAGAATCACCCCCTAAAATTTATCGCACTTATTTACTAACACCCTGTATGTTCTATGTTTTAATATATTTTCTTATTATTTCACAAATATGTTCTTTATGTGTGTGATTATGATTATAGTGCGGTCGTGGCAAAATACAACTCACGTATGGAACTCATTATTTTAAATACAGTCGCGCAGACGAGCGACGTTTTGTAGCCGCTACTAGCGTCTGCGGACGGCGAGGATGGAACTTGTTCCATTCTCAAGATCAGACGCTGCGTCTAAAGGCCTGGGTTCTCTTGTGCGATTGCTGCATGCGTCTGACCAGTCCAGCGACGAGACGCAAGCGATTTCACTGCAATATTTCTATTTATTTGCCGTCGACATGAATCAAATTTATTCCTACTTAAGCGGCAATAAGCGTGGAATTTAGTATCATTTATATATCGATGTTTGTACATAAAATGATGAGATGGTTTTCTGTTCATAATTAATAACGGAATCACGGTTTCATTAACTTCTTCTTCTAATAAAAGAGCCAATGCAAGCTCTAAGATGCTAGTTAATCAACTACTCATATTTCTCTTTGCACTGTGCTCGGGCTGCCGACTTTTGTCAACTTTTAGACGCACAAGCGAACCCACCTACGACGCATGCATCAATAGCACAAGCGAACCCATGCCTTAAGAGACGCCAGCGATGTCCATAGATATTCTTCTGTCCTTTATTGCTCCTCATCCTCAGGCAGGACAGTCTTTTAACCTTGTCCATAGTTTATTGCCATGTAGCGATCTAGGTTCCTTGAACATACATTTTCGACACGATGTCGATAAATAATTGGACATGCAGAAATAACTTCTGCACTTAACCGATGTTACTCAGATTTGTCATTTATGCCCCTTGGCTTCTATATACCTCAAATAAAATATTTAATCTATAACTGAAATTGATGCAAATAACTGAAAAAAGTTATTTTAATAGGCAAATCCGACACGAATTTTCTGATCAATGTAAATGGGTAACTTTTGTATTTGGTCTCTAAAATTAATGTATTATGGACACTTACATTTAATGTTATCTTACTTTCAATCGTTAACTGCAGCGCTTGTAATTTTATTAAATTATTTTAGCACCGTATGAGGGAGGAGTATGGAAAGTTAGAGTACATTTACCCGAACACTACCCTTTCAAATCTCCAAGTATAGGATTCATGAATAGAGTTTACCATCCTAATATTGACGAAGTATCTGGTACCGTATGCTTGGATGTTATTAATCAAGCATGGACAGCATTATATGGTAAATATCTGTTTACAAAGGCTTAGGTTTTTAAGCAAACATCGACAAGATTTTTAAGTTTTTAAGCAATAAATTTGAATTCGGTTTTCAAATGTTGCGGTTCTGCGGTTGGATGGGCAGTTGGTGGAGACATCTGGCAAACGATCCCCTTTTCTAGGTATCAAAACGTCCTGCTAGTTGGACTTCTACTTCCAAAGTAAATTATATACCTGAATGTTGACTAGCTTTGTCTATTTATGAATGTCTGAACGTATCTGCAAATACCTGCGTAGAAACGAATCTGCATTAAAGCCTGTTCCCTGCTCTGCGCATCTAAATTTGTCTCTTGAAGTTCCTATTCAATGCACAGTCTCTCGCTCTCCATTGTTTCTGCGCAGAAACCAATCTTCATTAATCTTGCTTCCAGCCCTGCACATCTCAATTTGTTTCCTGACATTCCTATTCAATACTCAGTCTCTCTCCCTTGTATCTGGAGTGGATCGTATCTCGGTCGTCTAGACATCGCCCCGATAGCATTAGTCCAATGCAGGCTTTCGAAAGCGAAAACACCTGTGAGGATGGATGGAAAACACCATTTGCGCATGAGAATTGTTAGAAATAAACTACTTTTGACAACGTCCTAAAAGCCCGAAAAACTCACCAGTTTTAATTAAAAAAAAACCATTGACAATTAAATAAAATCAAATCAAATTACTTTTCAGACTTATCCAATATATTTGAATCATTTTTGCCACAATTATTGACGTATCCAAATCCTATTGACCCTCTAAATGGAGATGCGGCGGCTATGTATCTTCACAAGCCAGAGGAATATAAGAAAAAAGTGTCAGGTATGGTATCGTTTTGAGCAATTGTTATGATAATATGACATGTGTTTCGTTACTAACTGAAGCTTTAAAACATACAGAATATGTTAGGAAATACGCAACAGAAGAAGCTCTTCGAGGTGGCGAAAATGTAAGTTCAGATAGCGAGTCAAGTATGTCAGATTTTTCAGAAAATGAAGCCGAAGATATGGAATTATAACGTTGGGTATCTCTTGTTCTTCGAAAAACCACAGCTCGCTCAATGGGACTTCGTGTGAAATTTCCCAATTTCTTAGTAGAATGCTTATATAGTTATTTATATATCGGTGACCTTGCAATTTTATAGCTTGTTTGATTGTAGACTGCAACAATGCGTTTAAGAAACTTACGTTAGACTTAGTTAAGGTGCGTCCAGACCTGACGAGCCGAGTCTGAATCGCGTTAAATTCTATTGATGTTTCGTCAAAACACCGACAGGAAATGCATCGTCTGTCGGTGTTTTGGCGGAACATGAAAGGAATTTGCCGCGGCTCAGGCTCGGCTCGTCAGGTCTAGACGCACGATTATGTTAAAAGTAGTTTCGTTTGAGTTTCTCGATTATTATATGTAAATCTCGCATCTTTTCATATAAATATCTTCAAATAGCTCGTAAAATGTCTCAAGGCGGTTATTATATTATTTCAATTGGCATAGCAAAGAAATTTGGACATTTCATCTGATACATATTCAATATCACAAAATAAAATTTAAATTTAAAATTGTTACTTCTAAATGCCAAAAAATAGGATTACATGCGTATGCGATAATTTATGATTTATATTTGTCTTAGTTCATGTGCTTTGTAGTTTATTAATTTGTTTGTGAACTAACTACACTTTTATTACAAACGGTACGTCGGCAATTGCGTGACCAACTCTCGACGATTGTTTATTATTCTTGTTGTTTCCTTTAAATAATATTTTTAATTAGCCAATAAAGAGCTCATACTTTTATTATTTAATTTAACGCAAGGAACCTTACAAATATACAGTGATTTGAATGTGACTTGTTCAGTATTATGCTGTTATTTTTTTAGTTATTATAATTTAATATGTGTATTTTATTCCGATAATAAGTGGGTTTATTCAAGACACCGGGTACGGGCATTAATACTAGTGATTTTAAACAAAGCACACCCAAAAATACAATAATGACTGCCGCATATGAATAAGGATAAGAACATGTCACTTAATTTCAAATTGTCAATTATATTTGTTTGATTGATTATGGAAGTAAATGTAATCCAGTTAAAAATTTGTTCATGCATTGGTCGTCAATTCCGAAAATTTTAAATTTGGCCTTATTGAATTGATAAATAACGAACGTAGCCGCACAAGTCATTGTAAATTTTTATAAAACTAATGATTAAAAAAATATTTATGAAAACTTAAAAGTATATTTTAAAAGAAAATTCATTATTTCAGTCTAGTCTTCATAAAATTCATGAATCTGTAGAATACATGGCAGCATTTGTTAGATTCTCAGTTTTAAGCAAGTAAATGAAAAACATTCAATACTACCTTAAAAAATAACTTGACGGGTTGGAAGACCTTTTTAGACTAATTCTTGTATTCGAAATTTGACCACGCAGTTACCGAATGCTGTGAATTAGACTAAAATGCAATCATGATTATTTACATGTAAAAGACTCAGTTTTATTTAAACATCTGAAGAGAGTGAGAAGTTCATCCTTGATCTAATGGAATATATAGATTCAAAGGGAAAGGGAATGTATAGATTCGTTTTTAACCCATTTGTAATGTATATCTTCCTTTTAACTGTAGTTTTAGTTTCGCTCGTAAAGTTGCTCTGATTTTTACCATATAGCGGTTATACTTTAGTTAGGACCGTATGTAGATATATACTCCTTATATAAGAATGTAAGTGTTAGAAGAAAAATCTATTTTAATTTGTTTATATATATATAAAGTAGATCTATGAATTTCTGCTACTAATTTGCTACACACACGTTCTTATACGTTCTTTTATAAGGCAGTTTTGCAGTAATTTGTCTGAGAATATTATATTATTTATAAATCTTATTTTAATTTTTTTATAGTGTACCTGTATTAAAGATGATAAGTGACTAAACGTTATTTTCATTAGAAAATGTATTTCATTAAAATTGTTTTAGTGCTAATAATCACAACAATAGCAAAGTAATAAGAATAAAATTTCACTGTGTAAGGAATTTGGCAAAATATATTTAAATTGAATGGATTTAGGTATTATAAGCATTTCAATTATACCATAACATCATGCAATACAAATCGATGAGTTTTTTCTCCAGTTTTTTTTTATTCATTTTCATTATTAATGTGTAATTTTTGTTCTGTGTAACATACTAATATATTTGCTTCTAGCTGAATGATATCAGAGAGATATGGAAGCACATGTTTAGTTCCCGTTCACTAATAATTGTAGGCTGTAACTGAGTTTACCCTTTCATAGCAGTATTCAAGGAATTGTTGAGATTTAATTTTAATTAGTAACCTATAAAATGTATTACTGTTTACCCCTCTAGTATTTCTTTGCCGTTGGTGTGATGATGGGTGAATCATTTAAAAGTGTATCTTAGATTTTAGATAGTTTGATTTTAAGTGCTCCTAAAACTCTAATACGCATGTGCAGATGTTAATTTAACGGCGGCATTATTAGTGGCACAGCTGCAATGTGTGTTCCATATATCTCTATCATCAAATGTTGATTAGAAATGTGTACTTATTTTTATGTAATTCCCATTACACGGACAGGCACTCGTTGACTTGCTAAATAACAGTGCAAGACATACAGTATTTCAATATTACACAGTGTTAGTGGGGTAAAAACTAAAAAATATTTACTAAAATTTTAAAATTAAGTACTCCAATCTGTACTTTTAAGCTAGTAGATTCTCGTGGAAGTTAAATATGTCAACAAAGGAAAACTTAACAATGCAAATACTATTTTTCTACAAATTACCATCAGTTTTTGTTTGTCATTTAAAAATCGTGTTTTACTAACTGAAAATTACCTGTAACTATCGAGGAACAATAATATTAGTAAATCATTTTGGTAAGATATTCTGTTCATATAATGAACCGTTTATGTAATCGTATTCTAAAACGTATGCTTTCAATTTATGGAATTTGACGAATCTTTTACTCATAATATATTTCTATATAGACTTCTTATTGTTTTTTCATGATTCCAAGTGCAAAATTGAACGTTTGTTGCAGGCTTCTTGTTCTTGATATTGAAAGAATGTTAAACTACTACTTAGTACTATTAAAATAATATTCATAATTATTCGAAAAGGGCGAGTCGTCCTTAGTATATCCTGCAAAATTATGGTTTGGTTGAAAATTGCCAATAAAGGATTTTTTACATAAAATCAGAAATTAGTCTGACGCGACCCCCTAGTCTACAGCACTATAAAAGGTAGCAGACTCGTCCGCCATTGTGGAGCCCAATTTTTGACATTTCTCATTTATTTGTGAATGGTGCTATCGTGTTTTATATTAAATTAGACAATATGACTGGTTGTTCAGCTCCTAACTGCAATAATCATTCAAGAAATGGTTTTAAATTTCATAGGTACGTATTTTGAAGATAGAAAAAGTCTGAACTAAGTATAAAACTTAAAAAAATAATTATAACCTAAAATATTCTTTTTAGTTCATAATGGTAATATATTACAAATGCATCATAAATATAATCTTTTGGTTGGTTGATTAAAACGTAGCCTTCATCATTTATCTAAATTAATTGTCATAGGTTCCCTGCTGATCCGGATAGACGG